TCCTGCAGGGGCTGGAGAGAGACATTAAGTGCCTGGAATTCAGGCCAGGGAGGCAGGAGAGAAGAAGACCCTAGGCAGATGGAGGACTTCAGCCACAACTGCCTTGGACTTAGAGTGAGTAATGGGTGGCTTTGCTTTTTGTCTTGGCAGTGCCTCCGGAGCCAGCGTGGTGGCCCTAGACAACAAGATTGAGCAGGCCATGGTGAGTGGCATCACTGCGTCATTACCGTCCCCTGACTTATTTGTAGCTTATGTAACTCTGGACAGTTCTGAGGGGGTGGATGCAAAAGCGTTTAGCCAGGATCCTAAGGAAAATAACTGCCAGCTTCCTATCCTCATTGGAGACCTTAGGGGACAATTGGCGGGATGCCTTTTAGGACATTCCCAATCTGCCCTTGGTAGACTACCTCCCTTTTGACTCCTCCTCCATCCCAGGGCTTTGCAGCAGCCTCTGACTCCCTCCTGAATGGTGCAAGGTGAGAATTGCGACTCTTGGATTTGTCTGTTTCCTGCAGTTGGCAGGGGCCAGAGCTCATTGGATGCAGTTGCACTGCAGTGCCTCTGCAGATCCTGGGCTGGGGTCAGGAGTTGGGAGGAAACAGAAAGCAAAGCACCCCACCCTTTTGCTGGCCTGCGTCTTAATAGGTAGAGGTCATACTCCACCGAGCAGCCAAAATGCTGCAGAGACTTGGGGCTTCTTCCAGTGATAAGCCCCTCAACTGTGCTGTGGAGCTTAATGGCACAGTTCCCTGTCCCTCAGTAAATTCAAAGGGTACAGAAAGCTCTACCCATCCCCAGAGTAAGGTTCATGTGTCCTATTTGAGTTTTCAAGACAAGGGTGACTCGATGTACTGGGTTACATGCAGGGGAGAAAATGCCAAAATAGATGGCATTTTTAGGATTTCATATTATTGGCAAATGTTTATAAAACAGACCAAGAATATGGGGTGCACTGTAGGCTTCCCCCTGATTTGTGCCATCAGCAGGATAAACTGAGAGGTTTTAACCTAGTCAGACTTGAAAATCATTAGTAATTGGAGAGTCTGGAACAAAGTTGGGCTCCCAACCCTGGCATGGCCCAAATCCTGCAACTGTCCTAAACAAGAGTCTTAAGTGTGTAAGAGAATAGGGCGCAAAGAAGTGAGCTCTAGGCACGACATGCTGTGTGAGGGTTGCTTGATGGTGGCATAAAGACCAGTGCAGCAGATTGATTGCAGGGTGACAGTGCTGCGGAGGGGCCATGATAGCTAACAAATAGCTTTGTTCCATGGCAGGATCTAGTGAAGAATCATCTGATGTATGCTGTGAGAGAGGAGGTGGAGATCCTAAAGGAGCAGATCCGTGAGCTGGTGGAGAAGAACTCCCAGCTGGAGCGTGAGAACACCCTCCTGAAGACCCTGGCAAGCCCAGAGCAGCTGGAAAAGTTCCAGTCCAGGCTGAGCCCTGAAGAGCCAGCACCCGAATCCCCAGAAACCCCAGAAGCCCCTGGTGGTTCTGCGGTGTAAGTGGCTCTGTCCTCAGGGTGGGCAGAGCCACAACTTGTTCTACCTAGTTCTTTCCAGTTTGTTTTTTGGCTCCCCAAGCGTCATCTCATGTGGAGAACTTTACACCTAACATAGCTGGTGCCAAGAGATGTCCCAAGGACATGGCCATCTGGGTCCACTCCAGTGACAGACCCCTGACAAAGAGCAGGTCCCTGGACACTGAGTTGCATGGGGCCTAGTAACCCCAAGCCAGTGAGCCTCTCATGCTACCGGGCCCAGGGGCTTCCAGGGCCTGGGCAACTTAGTTACAGCTGGCAAAGGAGAAAGTAGTTTGAGATGTAATGCCAGTGTGCTCCAGAAAGTATAAGGGGTCTGTTTTTCATTTCCATGGACATCTTCCACAGCTTCATCTGACAATGACTGTTCCTATGAAGAAGCCACTTGTGTTTTAAGCAGAGGCAGCCTCTCTCTTCTCCTCTGTCTTGCCCAGGCAGGGGCAGAGATGGGAGAGATTGAGCCAAGTCAGCCTTCTGTTGGTTAATATGGTATATTGCATGGCTTTGTGCACAGCCCAGTGTGGGATTACAGCTTTGGGATGACCGCTTACAAAGTTCTGTTTGGTTAGTGTTGGCATAGTTTTTCTATATAGCCATAAATGCATATATATACCCATAGGGCTAGATCTATATCTTAGTGTAGTGATGTATACATATACACATACACCTACATGTTGAAGGGTCTAATCAGCTTTGGGAGTACTGACTGGTCCCTTATCTCTTAAAGCTAATTTTTTGACTGTGCTAATTTACCAAATTGATCCACTTTGACCTTTAGATTAATTAAGACTTAAGATACAAGGGAGGGAGAGGGGGACCAGCCTCACAATGCGGCCACAGATGCCTTGCTGCTGCATCCCTCCCCCATCTGTCCACTGAAGACACTGAAGTCCTCATTTGAATGCCAAACCCACCATTCATTGGTGCTGACTACATAGAATGGGGTTGAGAGAAGATCAGTTTGGACTTCACTTTTTTGTTTGAGGTTTTTTTTTAATTGTTTTTGTTTTTGTTGTTGGTTTTGTTTTGTTGTTGTTGTTGTTGTTTTGGGGGGTTGGGTTTTTTGTTTTTTGTTTTCTTCTTGTAAGAAACTTTGGGATGAATTAAAGGATGGAGTCCTGTGGTGGATAAGAGAAGTAAATAGTTTCGATCCCTTGGGGGCCTGGGAGATGTACCCAGGAAGTGTGTGTAAGGAGGTTCTGTGACAGCGGACACTTTCCACTTTCTGACACCTTATCCTGCTGTATGTCTTCAGGATTTGGATTTGGATTTTTCAGATGTAGCTTGAAATTTCAATAAACTTTGCTCTTTTTTTTTCTAAAAATAAACTTGGTGTCTGATTGTATACATAGACTGGGTGGGCATTTGATAGAGGCAAAATGTTTTGCTAGTCTGTCCAATATTTGCTGAACACCCGGGAAAGGCTGCTGCCTCCCTTGATGGTGTATCATTTACATAGTCTCTACATGCTTTTGCTCTTACCTCTCTGTTCACATAGGGAAGCTGAGACTCAGCGAGTTTAAGTAACTTGTCCAAAATCGCACAGCCCTTATGAAAATTTGGACACAACTTAGCCTTCCTACTTGGTCTAAATGACTATTAACACCCAACTTTTAGCTTGAAGGGAAATTTGGAAAAATACCTTCTAAGAATCCCCCCAAACAAACAAGAAAGGTATGCTTCTGAAGGATCAAGAGAGGAGCCAAGTTAACATAGGTGAACTTGCCTCTTCCTGCTTCTAATAATCCACTCAGAATCCTTGACCTTGACAAAGTAGGAGCCTGTGTGAGGTGGCAAAGCCACATTCTTTTAGTCAGATTTCCCCACCCCACCCAAAGAAAGATGTGTTCAGTTCCTGCTTCTCCACTAGTCCTGAGAGCTCTCTCAGCATCAACCAGTGGTGTGGGCCAAGTCTATTTCAGCTTCCCTCTGCACCTCTTAGGGGATACTTTCTACTGCCCTTCTCTGTCCACATTTCTCTGCAGTTTGTCTGACTAATGAAGGACATTTAGTTTCTCTTCTGCTGCACCCTCAAATGGACTTAATTCTAGACCAATTCTGAGCCTACTGGGTTCTTAAGAGAGCCACCCTTATGGCAGTTATTTCATTTAATCTGGACTTCCTGTAGAACACACAGCTATGTTTTGGACACATGCGTTTGAATAGAATTTCACTTTTCTTAAGTCATAATAAGTCTCAAGGTGACCAAAATGACTTGGCCCAATTGCTACTCAAATTAACTCAAAATGAAATGCTTCCTTCTCTGTCAGAGTCATACATATTAGCCTGTTCTTTTCCAATTTTCAGGACATCACACATCTCTGCTGGCCTCTTGAGACTCAATTTCCCTATCTAATCTCAATCTTGCTGCTCAGGATGCCAAATTCATTGTGTGCACCTGTTAGTTTGGTCATGCTGTGCAGAGTACAGAGCTAATGGCATAGATACAAACTGAGGGCTATGGCCACATCCGCTCTCAAGGAACCATCCCTCCTCTGACCCAGTGTTCTTAACCTTCATTCCCAAATCCTTTCACCCGTTCCCTGTAAAACAAACTGAGGGGTTTGGGGGACTATTCAGTACACCTATAGACTTTACACCCCTGTTTTCTAGCTGAAAAGTAACAAAAAGTTTGATCCACGGTATTATAAAGATGGGGATGGGGGCAGGGGTGAAGTGAGTGTGGTGGTGAGCGCTGTTCTAGTCTCAGCACCTGAGAATTTGGAGGCAGGCAGATAAGAAGTTCAAGGACATTTTGGGCTGCAGGAGACCTTGTCTCAAAAAGGGGAGGGGGGCACTAGGAGAGGAAGAGTTCTTATGGGAGAGGGAATGAAGAGGGGCAGAAAGCAGCCCATCAAACCCTCTGGTCAACAAGCACTTTCTGTACAAGAAAGGGGAAAAAACTTGTCCCACAATCACTTAGTGGTAAAGAGAACAATTTTGTTCCCTAGGCAACCCCGCCTAAACAGAGACAAACAACTGCAACCTCTGAGGCCACAGCAGTTAGCAGACCAGATAAGAGGAACTTTAGGTGTTTGTTATTCACACACAGCACCAAGCTGTTATTGTTGCTCCACAGAAAACCAACTAGGGTGGAGAAAAGCAGGAAAAGAAAACATTGCTCGTGGGCTTTCATGGCTTTTGAAGTTCTAGGTTCAGCTGGTTGCATCAGACCCAGAACAAGAAGAAAAAAAAAAAAAAGCAAGGGGAGCTGAAGCAGTAAACCTTTGGTTCTGGGCATGCCAACTTGCTGGGTGACCTCTGATCTACTGTCGCATTGATCCTCCTGGCATCATCACAAGAGCACCGCTCTGCCACCATCCTGAGGGCAAAACTGTTTCCTGCCCTTATAACAAGGCAGTTATGGTTGAGTTCCATTAAACAGACCAGAAAACTGACAGGCAGAGGGCTCTGTGTGGCTCCCAGAGTTACCCCACGGACCTCAGGAGACAGCAGCTTCCCCTAGACATGTCAAAAATACTCTCAGACCACCCTCAAATCCATAGTGGTTGAACTGGGCATCTTTAATGAGAGGAAGAGGGGAAGGAAATGATGAGGGAGAAAGCAAAGAACAAAATTATTGAGTTCAATGTGACTTTTTTGGTTTTCTTTCTTTTTTTTTTTTGACACAGATTTTCTCTGTGTATCTTTGGCTGTCCTGGAACTTGCTTTGTAGACCAGGCTGGTCCTGAACTCACAGAGATCCATCTGTCTCTGCCTCCCCAGTGCTGGGATTAAAGGTATGCCACTGTGTCCAGTATCTCACTGTGGCTTTTAAAAGAACTGCTTATATTTATCTGTGAAAGCAGAGACATTCATTTGAACGCTAGAACAGTAGTAATGCATTGCTATCTAGCTAAGTTTAACTACCCACGAACACCCACACCCACAGTGGGACTAGATTAACAGAAAGGGGCTGCCTTGGCTACAAAGAGCAAGGTTCCAGGGTTCAAGACAAGCACAGAGGAAACTACTTGGGAGGGAGGCCTCCTGGAGAGCCAGTGAAGACTGAGTAGGGGAAGAGGCAGGGCTGCTTGCACCTGGTGTATAGGAAGAAAAATAGGAGAAAGCACCAGGAAAGAAAGTGTAGGGCCCGCTGGCTCTGGAGACGTTTTGAAGTTGTACTAACATCATTGTGTTTATTCTGGAAACCCTTGCTTTCAAATCTTACCTTTTCTCCTCCTTGCAGGCCAATTACAGCTTGAGAGACAACCCAGTCCCTGGGAGAGGGCTGCAGAGAAACCCAGTTAGATCCAAACACTGAGCATTGAAATATCCCCACCCCTGAATCAGTCAAGGCCTTACCAGGGACTCTTATCAATTCAATATTCCGAGAAGAAATGGTTTCTAGAAAAGAGCAGGCTGGAAGAGGCAAAGATCACAATCATATCTTCAGTTACGTGACAGTTTATGTTGCATACCATTAGAATCCATTTTATTGACTTTTTAAGTCGTCTCCACAAGCCTATGAAGTATGTCCTATTAAGAACCCTATTTAGACACAGTGTAGCTCAGTGGTAGAGAGCACACCCAGTACAAGAAAGGCCCGGACTTAATCTCCAGCCAAAAGCCACCAATAATAAACATTCTCATTTTACCAATGAGAAAATGAGAATGCTAAGTAAGGTACAGAGAACTTGGGCCCTTTGGCCAAAGTCATAGAGCTAGTGCGAGGCAAACTGTGCATATAAAGGAGGTGAGATGAATACCTGAACAAATGAGATGAATAACCTCAATAGTTGTCTTGATTTCTCCCGTGTAGTGTAATGTTTCCCAATCCAACGATGGATACAAGACCGGTGGGGGGGTGGGGGGTGGGAGTGAACCAAGAAGAAGGAAAGGGGAGGGTGGGAAGCCGGCTAGGCTGGCCAAGAGCCAAATGCCTTTAGCTAGCATCTAAGAGCGCTCAGGGAAGCCTCTGAGCAGGGAAAGGATGGGAGGCAAGAATTATTTGTACAGGATGGGTTGTGGCAGCTGGGGAGGCTGGAAAAGACAGAGGCTGTTCTAATCCAGCTGTGCGGTGATGAGGGCCAGCCCAGGGAAGGGTGAGAACAGGGGTCACCAAAAGGAAAGGACAAAGTCAGTACAAGGCAGTTCTTTCTTCTCAAGTGTGGTCTGCAATCCACTCCATCAGGATGACCCAGAAGTGCAAACTGCAGACTCCAGCTCCACACAGGCTGTAGACCCTGCCTATTTCCCAAGTTCATGTTGCTGGGGAGCCTCCACTATGGGAAACTTTGAGGATCTTCTACCAGGTGAAAAGTCACTATGACCTAGTGGCAAAATGAGTCAGGTAGAGAGGCAATAACAAAGTAGTCTAGGTCAAAGATGACTTGGATATTGATTTGGGTTGATTTTATATACAGGGTTTCTCTGTGTAGCCTTGGTCATCCTAGAACTCGCTCTGTAGACCAGGCTGGCCTCCAACTCACAGAGCTCCACCTGCCTCTGCCTCCACAGTACGAGGATTAAAGGCGTGTGCCACCACCACCATGGGACTGCAATCTTTTTTTTTAACTATATAACTCAAGATGACCGAGAAATCAAGACGTGCTGCCTTCACTTTCTGAATGCTAAGATCACAGATGGGCAACACCAAATCCAAAGTCAACCAATTAAAAATTATTTATCCATTTTATGTGTATGGATATTGTGTCTGCATGTATGTCTGTGTACCACATGCATCCCTTGTCCCCAGGGAGACAAAAAAGAGGGCATTGGATTCCATGAAACTGGAGTTATAGACAACTGTGAATTGAACCTGGGTCCTCTGGAAGAGCAGCCAATATTCTTGCTCCTGGGTCATCTCTCCGGTATCATAACCAGTCTTCTTTTTAGATGAGAATTTTCCTGATATTCCTGGGCTCAAGTATTCTGCCTCAGATTCTAAAGTAGCTGAGACTACAGGTTTGAACCACCAAGCCTTATTTCATTTTAACCAGTTTGGAGGATACTGGCCATTCAGATTGGCATGCTACCATGATCAAACCATCCCCAGAATGCAGTCAATGTTCTGAGTTGATTCTGTGTCCCAAGGAAGCATGCGCTCCGCCTTACTCCCAGCCCCACTGTGAAAGGGTGGCATCTTGTAGATCTGAAAGGTTCTTCAGAAAGAAGGTGCGTTTTAATTTACATTTCCAGCTGAGCTATGAATGTTTGCATATGGAAAGATTCTCTGTTACAACTGTGTGGAGAGAGAACTGTGAAGGCCAGAGCTGGAGCACATGACTTGTCCATGTCTGCATGTCATCAGAAATGAAATGCTGAAGTCATGTGAATAAACATAAGCCACCACCCCAGAGAGAAATGGGCTGCAGAGGGAGACAAACAGAAAGCAGAAAGCCCAGGAGAAAGCCAGATTGCCTGGGACACAAGAGCTGGGGAAAACAGTTTGCTGACCCGCTCTCATTTTTACTCTTTGTTCCATTCTTTCTGACATTTCTTCTTCAAATGCCATCCTGTAAAATTGAACACAACCCTAAAAGTCACTTTGAGGAAGCCTAAAGCAACTGGGGTATTCCAGGAAGAGACACTCAGGAGTTCTGAACTGCCGTCCTTCCTTGTCTTTCCACAGCCAACTATATCACGGGTGGCCTGGCATGGGCTTCTCTAGACCTCGGTTTCACAAGGTGCAAACAAAGTGCCTCCATGGGATCATTTCTAAACCACTGCCCAGGAAGCCCAAAGACAGAGGAGCTCTCTGGCTGTAAGATTTGGACAGATTACCTCTTTGCTCAAAGGGACTCAGTTTCCCCTCCAACCTCTACTTTCTATTTTTCATAGCACGCTCTTATCAAGTTACTCAGTTAAAATATCTTTAGAGCTCCATGCAACCCTCCTGATACTACCTGTCATTCTTTCTTTTGTTCTTCCTTCTTTCTCTTTCTCCCTCTCTCTCTCTCTCTCTCTCTCTCTGGTTTTTTTTCCCCTAGGATTATATAACAGAGGACAATCTTGAAATCCTGATCCTCCTGTCTCTACCTTGAGAATGCTGGAATTATAGGTGTGATTCATCATGCCTGGTTTTTGTTGTTCTGGGGAGCAAACCCAAGGTTCCATGCGTGCTAGGGCTACTTCCCTAGCTCCTCACTGTATTTTCTACCAGCAGACATGACAACCCTCCGAGCAATTGCTAATGCCCAGAGATGCCTTGGCACGGTGGTTAGATTAACTTTGTACTCGAATTGACTAGGTCCTAAACTACAAGGATCAGTAAAGACAATTTTGGGGAAAGTTCAGGATTAAATATATTTTAAAGAACTACACATTACCAAGCAGGGTGGTGCACACGGGTAATCCTAGGATTTGGGGGACTGAGACGGGAGGACAGTCTATGAAAGCAAGCAAGGGTTACAAAGGAAGCTCTAAACTAGCCTGGGTTATACAATCAGACTCTGTCTCAAACCCAAACAACCATTAACAAAAAGACTCCGTTACATTGGCTCAGCCTCTGCCTCCTGAGTGCTAGGATTAAAGGCGTGCGCCACCACACCCAGCTATTCTCAGGGTCTTAAGTACCATTACTTTGTCTTGTGGCTCCAAAAAAATCTCTCTGTCTAGTTTCAAGATTTGCCCTGAGCTTTGGGGCACAGGTTTTCAAAGTTTTCCTTCTCGGTGGTTTTCCTGTGTTTCATACAGACATTGTTATCTCTAAGATCAAAATCAAGTCTTGACTCTCACCTCCATAGCTGTGGATCCCCAACTACACAGCTGTCCAAGTCTCCATCCTAGCTCCAGTACTCCTGTAAATGCATTTATGGAGGGGGAGGGAGCAGGGAGAGACATCCCTTTTCTCTAGCACTGTAGTCTAAGCTACCCTCACACAGCTTCACACATCCTCACACAGTGGGGCTCCCTGCTTCTGTGCTCGACCCTGTCCATCCCACAGCTGTAGTGAGCGGCTACAGTGAGCAGCCTTAATGCCAAACCAAACCATGGAGTCCCCTTGCCTTAAGCCTATCAATGGCTTATCATCATACTTAGACTAAAGTCCAAACTCCTTCCCAGGGCACACAGTAGCTGCATGATCTAGCCTCCACTGACCTCTCTAGCCTCTCCACGTGCCACTTTGCTGCTCTGGCCAAACTCCATCTGCACAGAACTCCCTCCTTCCCCTACTCCTCACCCCACACTTTGGGTATGTGCTTCTCTGTGAAGAGCCATGAACCACCCAGCTGCCCATCAGCTCACTCTGCTAATCACAAACTTACTTGGTCCTGTCTCTTGGCGCGCGCTCTCTCTCCATGATGTTTGTTCACTACTCTCTCCAAAGAAATATCCTCCAATGGTACTTATCCCAGTTGCATGATTTACAGTTTTGTTTGCGCCTTAGAACTCTGGAAGCTTCCCAAGACCAGGGAAACATCTTCAGAGCACCACACAGTATCTGACACATGCCAATCAATATGAAATTTCTTGACATTTTGGATGCTGTAGCCAGTGATGGAAGGTTGGGCAAGAAGCTTTTTGATGGAGGTGGAATGGGGAATTACATCCCAAAGCCTTTCAAATGGCACAAGCAAACTGGTTTGTTGATCACGTCAGTTATGAAAACAATGACCTACTTGTTCTGTGAACAACGGTTTTTATTGATTTTATTGAGCTCTACATTTTTCTCTGCTCCCCTCCCTGCCTCTCCCCTCCCCCCTTCAACCCTCTCCCAAGGTCCCCATGCTTCCAATTTATTCAGGAGATCTTGTCTTTTTCCACTTCCCACGTAGATTGTATCTATGTCTCTCTTAGGGTCCTCATTGCTGCCTAGGTTCTCTGGGATTGTGGGCTGCTTTTGTTTGCTTTATGTTTAAAAACCACCTATGAGTGAGTACATGTGATAACTGTCTTTCTAGGTCTGGGTTACCTCACTCAAAATGATGTTTTCTAGCTCCATCCATTTTTCTGCAAAATTCAAGCTGTTGTTATTTTTTTTCTGCTGAGTAGTACTCCATTGTGTAAATTACACATTTTCCTTATCCGTTCTCTGGTCAAAGGGCATTTAGGTTGTTTCCAGGTTCTGGCTATGACAAACAATGCTGCTATGAACATAGGTGAGCACATGTCCTTGTGACACGACTGAGCATCCTTTGGATATATACCCAAAAGTGGTATCACTGAGTCTTGAGGAAGGATTTTCTCTGTCAACAACTTTTCATTGAGCTGGTTCTGTGTGTCTGTCAGACAGCAGACTCCGCACTGGGAATATGATGTTGTAAACCTAGGCGATATGATGCTGGCTTCTAAATGGGTTACTGCAAAGGAAGACTGTAGAGGTCCCTACTGTTATTCTTTAAGATACTCCAAAGGTCTGCTTTTATCCCCCCGTCTCCAGGTTTTAACCTAGACGATTCTGCTAACTGTCTGAAGGTGTTGGTCAAGCCATGTCTCTCTTCAAGAGATGGCCATAGTTACTAGGGTTGGCTCTGCCTGTTGACAAAAACACCAGCAGCAATTGCTTTTAAATGATAGTTAACTTATCTCTCTCATAAGAAGTCTGGAGATAGGCAGCCTAGGTGGGTGGATACAACATTTCTATAAAGTTACCAGTTACTCAAAGTCCTCCCAAGTTGCTACTCACCATAGATAGCTAATTGTTTCATTGTCCAGAAGGGCTGTTTATGTGCTGGCAAATCTATCCACACCAAAGGCCTCAGAAAGGACAAGGAAAACCGCTCCTGACTTCTGAGAACTCTTCCTAGAAGTAATGCATGCTTTTGCTTACATTTCACTGGCCAGAACGTGACCTGCCCACCCCTATTTATAAGAGAGGTTTTCTTTCCTCTATGACTAACTATGACCACTGAACAAAATTCACATTTGCACCAGAGAACACAGACACTGGAGAGGCAGCAAGCAGGTGTCTAGATACACCCAGACACAATGAGGGAAGAGAGATACACCCAGACACAATGAGGGAAGAGAGAAGAAAAAGAGGAAGAGAACAGAAAAGAGCTTCACAGAAAGGTCTGGAACCACTAACTCCCACAAAGCCTACATTAGTGGGCCATAGCTGGCTGTGAGGCGTGACTGCATACCTAAGTAACAGAGTCAGCAGTGCAGGCTCCTGGGAGGAGTGCCGTCTCTCCTGCTGGGGAATAGACTTCTAAGAATGGCTCACGTGTGTGTGTGTGGGGGGGTGTCTCGGAAGGTTATCAGAGGAACTCTAGCACTAGGAAGCCCAGGTTATCCTATTAAATGTCTTTCTATAGCCATCTTTACAACAGTCAGCTCTTGCACAGCGATGGTGGTGGGTGCCTTTTATCCCGGCCTTCGGGAAGCAGAGACAGGCAGATCTCTGTGAGTTCGAGGCCCGCAGCCTGCTTTACAGAGTGAGTTCCAGAACAGCCAGGGATACGGAGAGAAAGCCTCTCTTCAAAACAAACAAACAAAAAATAATAATAAGCTCTCAGCCCAAAGCCTATTATTCAAAGTGGGTGTTCCAGAGAGGGGGAAAAAAGGTCTCTTTATTTTAAGACTGGGAAAGGCCTGGAGAGCTGCCACACCCATCTCTTCCCATCCCTCATACCTTCCCACTGCAACCTCCTGCAGGACACATGGGTTGTGCAGAGATGTTTATTTCTGGGCAAAGTTTTCCCTAGGAATGTAGCCCCTGTATATTCGTGCATTGATTTTTTGGGTTTGTTTTTGGTTTTGTTCTTGTTTTTTTGAGACGAATTTTCTCTGTAGCTTTGGAACCTGTCCTGGAACTAGCTCTTGTAGACCAGGCTGGTCTCGAACTCACAGAGATCTGCCTGCCTCTGCCTCCCAAGTGCTGGGATTAAAGGCGTGCGCTACCACCGGCCGGCTCGTGCATTGATTTTTGAGATGGGATCTTGCTATGGAGCCCAGGCTGTCTTTGAACTTGACATTCTCTTTCCCGCTGTCTCAAGTGTTAGGAGTAGAGGCAAAGGCCACCACAGCAGGCACATGCCCTCAAGAATGTAGCATTCTTTCAGGTCTTAAGGATTTCCTTTGTGTACGGATGGAATAATTATGCAATAACACCCAGTTCCCCAAACCTAGGAGTACAGATTCATGTCAACAGTCTTCAGCCTTCCTGGAGAGCCATCACTACCACACAGAGGAGGACACAGACGTCGACGAAGGGTTATGGAAGGCCTTATTGTCCCCTATAATTCGCTTGTGTCACTCCCTGCCTCAGAAGCTTCAAGACTAAGAGAGAGATAGAGCCATGTGTTCCTTTGGCCTTCAGAAAAAGGCAAGGGTTGTGGGTGATGGCACACAGCTGTCATCTCAGTCCCTGAAAAGCGGAGGCAGGGGAATTACTGTAACCCTGAGTTGGGGCTACCTGGTGAGTTCTAGGTCTGCTTGGCCTACGTGGTGAGACCTGGGCCCAAAAGAGAAGGGGGAGGAGGGAGAGGAGGGAGAAGTAGGAAAAGGCAAGGGTCAAGCATGGTGAGGAAAGCCTGGAATAGCAGCACTGGAGAAGGTGAAGTAGGCAGACGGTAGATTGCAGGCCAACCTGGGCCATACTAACTCAGAGGCACCTGTGTGTGTGTGTGTGTGTGTGTGTGTGTGTGTGTGTGTGTGTGGTGTGAGCAGGCCAGGGGCTCTGCAGTACTTCCTCTCAAGGGCTCCTCCTTCTCAATGTCTTCTACCTCCAATTTCCCCTGCAGGGCCTACAGCATCGACCTGTCTAACATTCCCATCCACGTAGGAAATGGGAGACCAGGGCAAAGTTACAAAGGGCTGGAGGCACTTGGATTTCAGGAAGGCATTTGCCCGGCCCCTAGCCAGGGCCCTTTCTGGTGCTAGGCCTAGCTATGGAAGTTTGTCACCTGACCCTGTCTTTCCAGTGAGCAAGAATTACTCAGGCAGAACCCAACTCCCGCCCCTCCCTTGAATGCTGAACATTCTGTTTTTTTGCCCTTAGGAAGAAACTGGTAAATAACTACATTCTCTTCTCGCAGTTGACTCCCCTCCCCCGCCTTCTTTACAAAATCAAGGAACTGGGTCACGTTACATAAGTCTGTGTGGTTTTGACTGAACATCAAGCTTCAAATTGTTGTCCCACACACATGTTGGAGCAGAGCCCCTGTTCCCCCGGATAGCATGAAGGGAAGCTGCTGAGTTCCAAAGTCTGGGGAGTTGTTTTTCCATACACTTCAGGCCAGTTTAACCCATGTGACCTACTTGCGGCTCTTCTCCTAGAAAGGCATTAAGCCCTTCAGAGAAGTTACAACTCGCCTAGACAGGCACCCCATAATGGGATGGGCAGGGGAACTTCCCAGAATCTGCCCTCGAAGCATCAAGGCCAAAGTCCTCCTCCTGTAGAGTCAGTCATTTCGTCCAGCATTTGTTCAGCGGACAAAGCCTTAGAAATCTTGCATAGGAGGCTCATGGACAGATGAGAACTCCTGAACTTGTGTGGCTTCATCCTAGTGGAGAGAGGCAGGCAGACAAAAACAGAAACCAGTAAGCACAGCATCATGTGTTAAGTGAAGCAAGGCTGGGAGGGAGGAAGCAGCCTCCCCTAGATCACACAGCCAAGATCTTGTGATGGCCAATGTCTTTTTTTTTTTTTTTTTTGTCACTGAACATGTTCTATGGATTGAACATTTAGCACCAGGCCCTGAAGCCAGTGAGCGTCAAAGAACCAGGTATGGTGGTGCACAGCTGTAGTCAGAGCACAGAAAAGGCAGAGGCAGGAAGATTAGGGTTTCCAGGCTACGTAGTTAGACCCTGATTTACTTCTTTCTTTTTTCCTTTCTTTCTTTCTTTCTTTCTTTCTTTCTTTCTTTCTTTCTTCCTTCCTTCCTTCTTTCCTTCCTTCCTTTCTTTCTTTTTTCTCTCCCTCCCTCTCTCCCTTCCTCCTTCCTTCCTTCTTTCTTTCCTTTTTATTTTTTTTCGGGTTTTTTGAGACAGGGTTTCTTTGTAGCTTTGGAGTCTGTCCTGGAACTCGCTCTGTAGACCAGGCTGGCCTGGAACTCACAGAGATCTGCCTGTCTCCGCTTCCCAACTGCTGGGATTAAAGGTATGTGTCACCACCACTCGGCGAGACCCTGTTTTTCACAAAGATAAATATTTCTGTTCTTGCAAAACTATAATATAATCAAGGAGGCAAACTAAATAAAGACACACAGAGAGGTGGGGTCCTGGTCCAGCATGGAAGGAAGCTAGATGACTTAGTGAGTAAGTCGTACTTGCTGCTCATGCATGAGGACCTGAGTTCAGGTCCCCAGAGCTCATATAAAAAAAGCAGGCCATGACCTATAAGCCCAGCCCTGTAGGGTGCCGAGACAAGAGAATCACACGCTGGTGCTTGCTGGCCAGCCAGTCTCCTGAAAACAAAATAAAACAGTAAGTTCGGTGAGAAAGCCTGTCTCCAGGGAGTCAGTCAGAGGGTGCTAGAGCAAGACGTCGGAGTTTCTCTTCTGGTTTCTCTAGGCATATGCGTGTGTGCATGTCCATGTGTGCTCACCCCTCCCCCAATATGGACACACAAAGTCTCCATACAGTCCTAACAAATGAAAGGCTATAAAAACCAAAACTTTAACACACACACACACACCCTCCTCCTCTTCTTTCTCCTTCTTCTCCTCCTATTCTTTTTTGCTTCGAGACAGGGTCTTGTACACCCCAGGCCAGACACAAACTCTGATTGCAGCTGAAGATAAACTCCTGATTGCTCTGTGACAGGCAGTCTTACAAATCAGTGCCACCAACAGTTAGTCAACAATACTCTTAAAGTTCACAGGGAAGACGACCTTCCAAGCTTTAAAGAATGACAACTTTCCCAGAACAACAACAAAAAACCCTTTTCAGAGACCAGTGCCAGGTCAGAAAAGCCAGGGCTGGAACTGACAAATTGCTGGAGGCTGTGGACAAGCTCGAGAATTAGACATTCCCTGTGCAACCCTGCCCCCGAGCAGCAGCAGGCGTTTGTTTTACCTCCAGGAGCTCCACCAGCTCCCAGCCAATATCAGAAACGCCCTAGCCTGGCTTCTGGAAGGGGGTGGGGGGAGGAGAAAAGAAAACATTCTGAAATACGCCAGAGCATTCCGTTCTTCTTTTAAAGGCCCGAGGAAAAACAATTCTACTAGAACTTAACCTGCTGCCCTGACATCAGAGCCTGAGCAACCTTGGGGAATGACACACTCAACTCCAGCTCTCTGGAGTCTCCCACATAGATTGGGGGGGGATACAATGTGTAAAGGATGTGAGTGGGTGGGCAGAATGGGGGTGGGAGAGATAGCCAGCTCCCTGACTCCTCCAGACATTCTGCTCTGCCAGATGGGCACAGGGATTGCGAGACACTGGGAAAAGTCACAGTTGGAGAGCCCAGCACAATGAAGAAAGACTGTCCGAGCCAGAGGATCAGGGAGTTTGCTACAAGAGCATGTCTCTTCCTAGAGTCAGAAGCAGCATCCATGAAGTCTCATTCAACGTGGCTGCTTGGGTTGCCTCTATAGCCAGCACTGTGCGCACACATTGGCTGTGGGGATGACTTGTCAGATGGAACCGCAGACACAGACTCTGTGGAAGAAATAGTTGATACATTAAACTCCAGTCAAATTCAAACCTCCCTGGCATGATGATGCACGTCTGTCTCCTCGGAATCTGAGAGGCTGAGGCAGATGGATCACAAGTTCAAGGCCAGCCTAGGATACAGAGTGAGTTCCAGCCAATTTCATTTGCACGGTGAATGAAAACTTGTCTTGAACATGAACAGAGATGTGGGGTGAGGTCAGGAAGGAAAAGAAGGAGGGAGAGGTGTGGAGGGATACTGAGAGAGAGAGAGAGAGAGAGAGAGAGAGAATATCAGCACAAGGAAAGATACAGAACAACACCCCCCCTAAAAAAATACAGAACACCATGCATTCTTAGGGAATTGCAAATTAAAAAAAAGAATGAGACACCTAATATTATGGCCGTAATCTAAACTTTACAAACATCGGGAGCTGGGAAAGATGTGAAGGTAAAGGAAGTTTGATTCTTCACTGACTGGGAATACAAAATGATACAATGACATTGAAAGAGTTGTGAAATCGAGTTTATCTCATGATCCAACAATAATGCTCTTTAGTGTTTACCTAGATGACCCATAAACTTAGATCCATACAAAAAGCCCTTGTATGTGTTTATAGCAGTTTCATTCATTGATACCCAAACTTGGAAGCCACCATGATGGCCTGGAGCAGATGAATGGACAAATGAGTGGTGGGGAATTCTGTTAGTGGGTTCTTTTTTTGTTGAGACCATGAGAAGACAGAGCAGCAAGCAGTTCTTGACCTCTCTGAGAATGGGATGACCTTTTCAGAGGAGTCATATATCCGATGTCTTGCATATCAAGTATTTACATTATGATCCATAACAGTAGCAAAATTACATTTATGAAGTAACGATGAAAATAATTTTATGGTTGTGGGGGTCACCGCAATATGAGGAACTGGATTAAAGGTCGCAGCTTTAGGAAGGCTGAGAACCACTGACCTAGAGGAGCTTTAGGTGCGCTGTGTGGAAGAAGCCAAAGCAAAAAGGCCACAAACTGAATGATCCTAGCTATGGGACACTATGGTTTCTTCGGAACTTCAGAGCTGGAGACAATATGTAGGATTTCTAGGAGCTGATGGAAAAGAGAGAGACTAGGTACGATACAGAGGATCGGAGGGACAATGAAACTCTTCAGGGTTGTCCTGTCATGGAACACACATAGCTCAACACTGGCTGATACCCACAGGATACACACACCAAGTCTGAGCCCCATGGCAAGCTGTGGCCTTTGGGTGATGAGAGTGTCTCAGTGCAGGCTCGTCAATGTTGATGCATGTTTCCCTCTGGTAGGGAGTGTCAACAGGCAGTCATGGAGAGAAGCTACAAAAGCGTGATGACGGAATATAAGACAACTTTCTCTATTCTTAGTCAACTTTGCTGTGAGCTTAGCACATGCTGTAAAATGTAATAGAAGTTCGTTAACCTTTTCACAAAGGTAGAAAGTTGGAGTTTTCGGGTGCCCGCAGGCCATCTGCCTACTACACTTAGCAGGCAGCGAGAGCAGCCAAGGCTCGGTAAGTGGTAGGAGCTCGCCCGGAACAAATACAGCAAGGTCAATGCAGAGGCAGGGTTCAAGTCACACCATAGAGCCTCTCTGTTCTATAGTCATCAGACTGCCACAGACCAAGAGTCAGCCCATTGTTTTCTGTTAGACAGTGATTAGTGTACGCGCTTATGAAGTCAAAAGCCAGAACAAACAATGCCAGGCTTGGCGGCACACACCTGTAATCCTAGCACTTGAAAGGTTGAGGCAGGATGATCGAGGCTTCAAGGTGAGCCTGGGCTCCCAAACGGGACTGTCTCAGAAACAAAACAGAGCAAACCCACAAGCAAGCCACAGCAACCCACAAACTCCAAGCTGTTGGGAATGTGAGGCCTAATTTACGACTCAAGTTCTTCTAACTCTCAGGGCTGGAGGTGGCCTCAGACAGCAGAATCAGGAAAGGAGCCCAAGGCCTTTCTTTCCCGGAGGCCTGTTTTTGGCCCTTCTGCTCTCAACTGAAGGTCAGAACAGGACACACATTAAGTAAAGTCTTCATAAGGTTGTAGTTATTCACTGCAAGATTCAGGGTTTTTTGTGGGGGGGAGGCTGTTGTTGCTGCTGCTGCTGTCATTATCTGTTTGTTTGGCAGAAGTTCTTGGCATACAACCAAGACTAGCCTGACCCTTCAGCTCCTCCTGTTCCCACCTTCCAAACGCTGTGGTTACAGCTATAAGCCATTATACTCTTTGGGTTCCTAAAAATAGTTTAACTAACATATCATTCTACACATAAGTGGAAGGCAGTATAGCAACACAATAAATGTCACTATATGCAATACATTATCAGAGCTTGGACTTAGCATTTCCCTGTGATGAGAATGTGCAAAATCTTCTCTAGGGCCAGGCCTGATAGCACATAAAAGGGTCAACAGCACAAGACCTGTTGGACTACAGAGGAAATTTAAGACCAGTCTAGGCAATTTATTGACTCCCTTTCTCAACTGTTTTAAACAATGAAATCACTTCTCCTCATTCTGAAATCTACAATGACCCAGAACACTTTTACTTAAGCTCAAGATGCAAGCCACCAGGCTCTCCTGCCTGACCACGGTGGTCACAGGGGCCCCCTCCTGAACTTCTCGGCTGTCCCCTCAGCCGGTGCATTCCACACCACACACTTCCAGTCAGAGGAAGAGCTGCCACATGAACTGGCCTGGATCTCCCCTACGGCTTTCTCATCTCCAGGGAACCTCACACCCTGGATCACTCACTGCCTTACAGAATGTCCAGGTCTCAGGCATGCCTGTCCCCTCTGGTGACTCTTCCCACAGAAACCCCCTCCCACGCAGTGCCCGGGTCACCTTACATGCCAAGCTATTCCACTTCTGGGCCTTTGCTCATA